TTTTTATTTTCATTTTATGTGTATGAGTGTATTGCTTGCATGTTATGTAAGTGCACCTATGTTGTGCAGTGCCCACAGAGGTCAGAAGAGGATGTAGGATCCCCTGGAACTGGAGTTATGGACGGCTGTTAGCCACCACGTGGGTGCTGGGAACTGAACCCACGTCCTCTTACAAGAGCAGCCAGTGTTCTTAACCACTTAGTCATCTCTCTAGCCCCTATTTTTCTTTCTTTAAAACTACGTTTAAATAGAGGAATATTACACATGCACGCACTATGAACATGAACTTCCTGCCTGGGAAACTGCATGCTTCTCATGCATGCATGAGCCTTATACAGCTAAGTCTACCTTATTTAAAAGATAGCTACTGGACAGGCCAGGTGTGGTGGCGCATGCCTTTAGTCCCGGCACTCAGGAGGCAGAGGCAGGCAGATCTCTGTGAGTTCAAGGCCAGCCTGGTCTACATAGTGAGTTGGAGGCCAGCTGGTGCTACAGGGAGACCCTGTCTCAAAAAGACCCCCAAAAAAAAGACAAAAAAAAAAACAAAAAAAGGTAGCTACTGAACTAATGTCTGCCCAGTAAATGAGAGTGAATGAAGACATTCTTAGCAATTACACAGAAGAAGGCTTTCCTAGGCAAACCAGGACATATACTCATTGTACTTAAAAGAAATTAGCTAAAAATAGAGTACATAAAAAAGAATGCAAAGTGAAAGAGGAAACTGTAAATACAATACACTGTACTCGATGTTTAAGTCATTACGACAAAATTCACCCCAATACTGAAATTTAGAACAAATACTAATGGAGTAATAGCTTTAAGATGAAACATAATACAATAGTTAAAGCTCCTTGCTTAAAAGAGTTATTAAGCCTCCCTGTAGGTCAATTTCCCTTATCGCCATCATTTACAATACCACTGGTTACAGCACAGAATTATGAGGCAATTAAATGAGTTAATTTGTATAAGGCACAAAAATTGTGTCTAGCACATGAGAAGGGCCGAACAAACATTAGATACTATTACTGCTCTTCAACTGGTGACTCTTGGGCTAAGACATGAGTGGAAGAGCAAATAGCAGTTACGATGACAGAGCAGATCCCGTTTTCGAATGTAACCAGAGGCCAGATGCTCCTGTACATACTTTCATTTGTATTTCATGCACAAGTGCCAATAGGAGGCAGGTTCAACTCAAGTATCCTGCACAATTCAGAGTGTAAGTAAAGCAGGTTGAGTAACCTGCCCAGGCCATGCATAAACTCTAAGGAAGGCTGCCAGAGTGAACCTCTGCCTGAACAACGTATGACGAAGAGCTGAGTTCGGTACTGCTTTTGAGAACTTTATCTCCTTTAAGTCGTGAGGACATTTCATGCCACAACAAATGTAAATGGTAGTGGGCTGGGGATACAAAGCTCAGCGACCACAATTCTTCAGAGTGCACCAGGATAGAGTTTGATCGCCAGCACTGAGAAAAGTGGAGGTGATGAAAACACCTGAAATCTCACCTGAATTTAGAGCTAATCAGATTATTTTTTCATATTTTGAGGAAAAAACAATATAAAAAGTGGTCCTCTGCAGTAAAGACAGGCAGCTATCATACATATGAAAAACAAGACCAATTCACCTGTATGAGATCGATGATGCATGAACGAGAGACATGCACAAGATAGCTGTACAATGAAACTACCTTCCATCTCGGAAAATAAACAAGCAGCAAATGAGACAAAGTATAAATTAGGCATGTTTGCATGCTACAGTTTTCATCTCTTTGATGACATGCTCATCTACACAGAATCATGGCTACTTATATAAACAAATGGTTAATCAAGTCTTACCTGAATAGAATACATTATAATCTTAAAGCAGTGAACTGCAAATTCATTAGGATCCCACAGTTTATGATGATCCAAATGCCTGTAAATAACAATTAAAAATTAAGAACTCCTGGTTCTTACCACATATTCTTCTTTTAAAACCTTCAATGATATAAAAGCTTAACAGCAAAGTATATAAGACAACCAAGGCTTCCATTTTCAGAAATATGAAATAGGTATTTCTCCTAACTATTGAGCTTTGTCATCAAACAATAACAAATTCTAGACAATATGCAAGATTTCAAATATCTAAATGAAGCAGCATTGGAAAGAAAAGTCCCTGAGTCTAGAGAGGCACACAGATGGTCCTGGAACATCTTTCCATCTCTCATGCCTACAGCTAGTGGTGGCAAGTGTTTCAGATGTGGAAGACCAGAAACAAATTTACAAACTATTTATGAAAGGCAAGCAGGCTGCCGGATCAGATCAGGGTTCCCTGATAGCTCAGGAATCTAGAGACAGGACCCCTCCCAAGAGAAAATCTGGGAGGTCTTCTGTAAAAAGCTTGCCTGTCTTGACCTGGGCTCTAAAGGAGCCAAAGAAACCAAGTTTTTCTAGAAATTTCAACCATACATCTAGGACCCAGGGTAGCTAGGGGGAAGTAGGAAGTTCAAGACAATTAAGTAGATGCTAGTTTTCTAAAAGTTTAGTTTGAGGGCTAATATCTTGTACATAACAATCATCCCCAGTGGTCAGAAGTACATTAAGGTCTGGGAACCACTCTCATATATTTATGTACACAATTCATTACTTATGCACTCTTTCTAAAGTAGATAAACAGTATCACTGATTGAGAGGTCAACTCATGCACAAGGAAGGAAACGTAGGGCTACAAACTCAACTGGCTGAGAGGTTCAAAAACTTTAATGGCATTCCCATAAGGCCCACTATGGGAGAGAAGAGGGAAGATCACAAATTGTTTTGAAAATCTGATGATACTCTTAAATATGGTTTTGTAACTTATAAATTCTTGTATTTAAAGGCTAATTTTGAACCCAATAGTAAAACTACCTGCCCTAAATAAAGGATTCTGGATGCTATAAGCAAAATAGTCTATATAAGCTAAATCCAGTATTACAGTCAGAGGGTAAAAAGGATATGGTGAATATTTTTTTTTTATGTGTACGTGTGTATTACCTGCATGTAAGTAAGTGTACCCGTGTCATGCAATGCCCACAGAGGTCAGTACAGGCTATCGGATCCCTGGGACTGGAGTTACGGATAGTTGATAGCTGCCATGTGGGTGCTGGGATTCAAACTTGGGTCTTCTGCAAGAACAACCAGTGTTCTTAACCACTGAGCCATCTCTCCAGCCCCAGATATGGTGAATTTTAACAAAGGAAAGATGAGCAAAAAGTCCAGCAATTACATAAAAGTACTATGCAGTAGACCTGTCAATCACTGGGTGACTGAGTTAGAAGCACAGAGTTGAAAAGGCTGTAAGATAATGATTATGTTGAGAAAACGGAGCTCATAAAGAGCCTGGAGGACAGTATGTAAGGACCCATGAGATATTCAATACGTTTCCTTTGATTAGACTCTCAACAAAGATGAGATTTATTCAAAGAAGTGAATAGGATGTAAAGCAGCTGAGTCATGGCAAAGCAAGCTGGGACAGTGGTGGTGGAAGAATGGAGATACAGCTCAGGGGAGGGCACTGGGTTCAATTCCCATGTCTTAGTGTCAGATCCAAAACTTAGTTTCCATCCAAAACTTGAAGGAAGGGAGGAAGGAAGGAAGGAAGGAAGGAAGGAAGGAAGGAATCCTGGGAGGGAGGGAGGGCGGGAGGGAGGGAGGGAAGGGGGGAGCAAAGCAAGCTAAAGGAAAATGGGTAATGTGGGAGGGACTGAACAGAAGTCAGTAAAACAATGGGCATTACAAGTTGATACTGTTTACTGTCTCACTACACATACGCATTTCATGTTCTGTAAGGAGATATGCATGGTAAGTGATGCACATGCTGTGCAGTAATCATACTTTGTATTTAAAGGGGAAAAAAACAAACATGATAATCTGGAACCTCTATAAATGATACCTATACAAGTTAAAAGTTAGTGAAATACATTATTTTGTATGCTAACTAAAAAAATTTAATAAAAAACAAATTAAAAAGTACAGTATTTGTAAGAAAATTAACATATTACTAATTATATGACAAAGTCACAAATAATCAGGAAAACACCGACAACTTACGCAAAAACTGGCCTAACAGCATTATTCATATTCCCGAAAGTTGCTCGGCCCAGCAGCTCCCTGAAGCAGTTCTCAGCTAGCACAGCAGGGTTCTCTTCTTTGTCGGCCACAGAAGGAGAGGAAGGTGGGCCTATGCGACTGAAAGTGAGAGAAGTCAAGAAGGCCCATGCAGTATTCTAACTGTAGTACTGAGGATGAAACAGAACACACTTTACTTCTCAGAAATATAAAAAGGTACTTCTATTTTATCCCCTAGTAATATTAAAGCTTAATTCTAACCTTCATGGACTTAATGCCACCAGAGCTAACTGTAACAATCTTTCAGATAGGGACCACTAAATTCAGCTGTAACTTGTCTCTAACAGAACATCCTTTATGTCAGCAAAACATTCAACAGCTTGGAACTGGCTCACTTTCATATAACACCTCTACATTTACAGAAAAATCTTAGTGAACACAGTGTCCAGAGAGACCATCTTCAGGTATCCCCTTCTCACTGCAATTAGACACAAATCAAACGAAGTGAAAAATCATGACACAGCCTGTGAACAAAAGATAAATTTTAAAAGTCGACAAACACTTGCATGTGGAGACATTTCAGTAGAAAATATGTGTTTTGTTCCACATCTTGAGTCATTTTATGCTAATTATACAATAACAAAAAAACACATCAGTGGCCCTGGGGATTACATCCAGAGCAAACACAGTTTAGGATCAGGGACCCAATGGCCTCTGCTTCCTACATCTCACTTATTGGGCCTCACTGGAAAATAGGTTCCCAACTAGCTGGAGACTTTTACAGAGTAAATATCTGATGGGAAAACATTAAGCCTTAGCTATAATACTAAAAGGAAAAATACAGAAGGTGCTTAAATAGAACAGTTTTAGGGGAGGATTCCAGAGCTGGAGACAGTCACACCTTGGAATTGAGTATAAGTTCTTCCTGTAACTAGCATTAACTGAAATGAATGCATGTTTTCCATACCAACTTTTGATACTGTGGATATAATCATGAACTTAGAAGTAAATTTTAATATTTATAACTATAAAATTAAATCCTTTTAAAATCTGTTCCAGATGTTTCCTCTTCTAAGTGTAAGAATCAAGATCAACACCATATGCCAAACTGAACAATCCCCTTTTTCCAACTGAGGGACACATTCTGTCTGCAGAAAGTAACAAAAACTGAGGGAATACATGCCTCTAGCCCTTGAGAGAAATGGAACAGTGTTCAGAATTCTAAGTGTACTGGCATGTTATGGGGAAAAGAAAAGCAGCACATATCCAAAGCTGATATTTCATTCTAAAATATCTTTGAGAAATTAATCTGAAACTAATAGTATCTAGTTTTTCATTGAAAAAGTAAAATATAATGATTAGCAGTTATTTTGGTTTGCTTTAACTCCTTATGAGAAAGCATGTTAAATCTCTAAGAAATATCAGAAGTTCAGATACAATTTGTTTCTCACATAACTTTAAGTAGTATTAACTAAAATTTAGTAATTTGCATGTCCAATAATAAGCAGCAAATAAAGTCTAAATATATTTATTTTTAAAATTTTGGGGTTAGAGAGATGGCTCAGTGGTTAAGAGCACTGGCAGCTCCTGTAGAGGACCCAGGTTCGACTCCCAGCACCCACACGGCAGCTAACAACCATCCATAACTCCAGTTCCAGGGGATCTGATGCCCTCTTCTAACCTCCATGGGCATTGCATGACATGGGTGCACCCAAGCAATACACTCATATGCATAAAATAAAGAAATAATAAAATATTTAAACAATAAAATTTTGTTACTGCATTTATTTGTTTATGTTTGTGTGTCTGTGAGAGAGAGAGAGAGAGAGAGAGAGAGAGAGAGAGAGACAGAGAGAGACAGACAGAGACAGAGACAGAGAGAGGCAGAGAAAGAAAGAGCAAATGTTCCATAGTGTATTTGTGGATGTCAGAAGACAACTTGTGGGAGTCAGTTTTCTCCTTTCACCATGTGGGTCCCAGAGACTGAACTTGGGTCATTCATCAGGCTTGGCACTTTTAGTTTCTGAACCCTCTTGCCAGCCCAATGTCTAAATTTATTCCTATTGCAACAGAAAATAAAGTCCCAAGTGTCTGAGTAAGAATCTGTGTCTAGTAATAAGTCTACAGACTAATAAATTTCTAGAAAGGTACATGTTTTTTAAATCACTTAACTTTATGAGACTCCCACTTACATCATGACAGAAATAAAACATTCTTATCCCAGCAAGTACACACAAAGATGTAAAACAACACAGGCTTAAGTTTAGTACCTTTTTAAAAAAAAAGATTTTTATTTTTAATCACGTGCACATGTGTGTGCCTGTGTGTGGATATATGTGTATGGGTGCAGGTGTTTGTGGAAGTTAGACGAAGGCATCAGATTCCCTAGCACTGGAGAGGTTGTGAGCCACCTGACACTGGTGTTAGAAATCAAGTATGGGTCCTCCACAAGAGCAGCGTATGCTCTTAACCACTGAGCCACCTCTCCAGCCCCAACTTTACTACATTTATACAATACCTGTCAACTTCTTCTATCTTCTGCATGTTGAACAGAAGGGATGGGACAATCTTATCCATGTGCTGCGGTTCCCAAATGGTAGCCCGAAGTTCATCATTAACTGTCTTGCGAACCACACCTTGAATACCTCTTATTCCAGCAATTCGGATTCTATTAAGATGGGAAAAAAGCGACCCATCAAAACAGCTTATTTAAACGACCCTGCTTACCTAAGAGAACGGATGTCAATAATGCATTATCAACAATAAAATATCTTAAAATAATATACAATAAGTATAAGAAGTTTAAATCTTAAAAATCCAAGATGGACAAAGAACGATATACCCAAAGTCTTCCTTCTTTGAAAGCCACCTTTACAAATCAGTACTTAGATTTAAAAGGCTACAAAATACAGAAATACCTACTACATGTATTTATCAATAAAGACCAGTTTGAGGGGCTGGAAAAATGGCTCAGTGGTTAAGAACACTGACTGTTCTGTCTTACAGAAGACCAGGTTCGAATCCCAGCACCCACATGGCAGCTAACAACTGTCTATAACTCCAGTTCCAGGGGATCCAAAATCTCGTCTGTCCTCTGAGGTTTGTTTTTTCTGTTTCAGAGATTAAAAAAAAAAAAAAAAACAAAAAAACCCCAGTTTGAAGTGTAGGTTTCCCCAAGATGATAACAAACTACTATGAAGTCTCAAAGCACAGTGAGGAGGCTTTCACTGCTCCTGAGAGTGCTGTTTCTTCAGACTTTGCCTGTGGGTCCCCACACCAAGAGCCCCTCACCTCTAGAAAGACAAGCTGCTTCTTTTAAAGGTATGTAACTACAGACATACACACTTGATTTGTAATTTACCAATAAAGCATTATCGATGCTGCCCTATCCTCTCGATTATTCACAGCCCCCCCAGTGTCTCAAGCTCTTCACTCTTCTCAAGGGACCTGGGAAGGGGGTGGGGGCACCTCGATAGGTTCAAGAATGAGAGGTGTGATTGGAAGACAGCTTACATATATTGCAAAAAGACAAATTCTCAGAGTGAACTCAATGGCCCATTTTTCTCACAAGGCATTTCTTCAGGCCAAATTCTCCTTTTCTCTTATTGCCAACTACTTCCTTTCTTTCTATCTCCTGAAATAATCACCAACTGGAGTTTTATTCAGTTCGCCTAACATTGTCTTCCAGAAAGCATAAATATATTTAAAGACCAGAAGTGGCGGGGGTAGAACTTTACAAATGGTGAGTATGCAATGAGACATTCAAGAGCAGCAGAAAGGGAGACTGGGAGGAGGCAGAAATGAGACCCTGAACAGGAAGTGAACTGAAGACACAAAGACAAATTCTTCCAATTTCAAAGCTGCCTATACAGGCTGCTTTGTAAGACACTGAGCACAGGCAGACAAGTCTAGCACTACTGCAATGTGTCTGTTATGCATACCTGATGTTGCTCTTTGGGTGAGGACAAGCACAAGGTGGTATAAAACACAAAACTCTGTAGAGTAAGTAGCAGGTGTGATGCCCCTGTTGAGGGGTATGGGGTGCATGCTGGTGGCCACCAACCTCTATTTCAGAGATATAGCTGATATCTAATCCATACCTGACATCTGGCATTAGCAGTACTTTCTAGTCTTAGTCTCCAAAAGAATGTTGTACTTTCCCCATTCATTACATAGAACATTTACATTATCTAAACTTGGGAGTGCTGGCAAGAGTTAAGTGATTAATTCATGTAAATGTCTGAATAAGCACTGGCTGACAGCAAGCCAGCATCAAGTGTCAGCTCTTTCTGTTGTCAATCATCATAATCATGACAAGGAAGCTCAAGATTACTACTACAGATGGAAGTTCATGGGGAAACTGGACTTAGAGGTTACAATTGTGTACATCTATAGATGTACAGGCAGCAAACACTCTACAAGCAAATACTTTAAGAAAATCTTAATAGTTCCCTCATCTCCCACTGCCAAAGTCTTTAAGTTCTGTATAACTAGGGTTTACTAAAACATATAGGGTTACAAAACAGATCTAAACTAGAATGTGAAAGGTGTAAATCTACCTGAAGAACACTAAATGGACTTTCACTGGAGATACAGAAGAAAAAAGCACATCCTTTATCATCAAGCATTTTAATGTACTCATTAGGTTCACAGTAGTTCAAATGAAATATCCACATTTTGGGGCTTCAGATGATAAACAATATTGGAAAGATCTAAAACTAGAGAAAATTACTATACACACTTTCATTTGCATAAAAACACTGAATTTTTTTTTAAACATTAGTGAAAAAGATGAAGATATGTTCAAAAGACAAGCCTTCTCACTAGGGGTGATAAATATCTAAAATTAAGGTAACTATAATTTTTGAATTTCTTAAGCACATCCTTTTATAAAGGTCATGATTAGAAACGCTCATTTTAAATGTCCGTTAAGCAGTAAAAAAGAGATTTTAGTAATTACTGAGGTGACCAAGAAGTTCTGAAGGAAATACTATCCTAATCTCTAAGGCATCATATTTAATGATGAAGAATAATGGGACTTCAAATGGCCTGCATTATAAAGAGGGAAAAAAAATATGAAGCCAGGCAGAAACAAATCATATCTGAAAAACGACCTTAAGTCACTTTTGGGTTTCCTTTCTCCAAATTACAGTAACTTCCTCACTTGTTTTCATCTGCGTAAGTCAACACCACAACCTGCAAATTCCAACTAAAAGCTAGTTATATTTCTCCACATTCTCGTATTTATTTTAAAAGAAAATATACTGAGTTTCTACTGCCAACTTTAAACAGTAGCTCTCTGAATTAAGGCTGATTTCTTTCTTTTCAGGTGTATCAGTAATGCTCAAACTATTTTCTACTATTTACCAACATCACTTTGACTTTAGTTTTTTCTACATAGAAACAACCTATAGATCATTTTCAAATCACAATTTAAGTCCAGATTTAAATATTTATATAAACTAGGATATATATACAAGGAATGTCTTAAAATGAGCTCCTCCCAAACCCATGTGACCCCTGAGGAATAAATCCTCAAACGACCTTAAGAGTAAAAATAAATTGGTTTATCTGGGCCAACTGTGTGGCCTTAAACACCCAAAAGGAAAGTGTAACAAAAGATTAAAGGGGCCAATATGAGACTCCCAGACAGTAACCCAGCACAGAACTGGGAAAATGAACAGCAGACCCCAATCTTATCTAAAGGAATATTGGCAACTGATTGCTGCTAGATGAGGAAGAGCTGATCTTCCTAAAACAAGGGACTCTAGATAGGCTGACTAGACTCAGCAGACGGACTAGCACTGGGGAATGGCTGGGGGCACTGACAACACAGTGGACAGTAACAGGGATGAAAGAGTATATGGGCTCCAGTGGTGGTGGGGAGGCTATGGGGGGGTGCCATTTGGGATGCAGGTATAAAGATGAATAAGATTGTTTGGGATGTTCTATATGAAATACACACACACAAAATCAATAAATTTTAAAGATGAGTTATATTTGAGGAAGAAGTATAAAAATGTTTCATGTTAATTAGTAGATATGAAAAACATTACCACTGAAATCTACCTGATGAATTTATATCCATGCTCAGGTGCCAAGGATCCCAAAAAGTAATCAACTGTGACTAGTAATAATCAGATATACAGAGATTAGAGACGTACATGTAAACATCTAAATGTTATTTGCATTAAAAATGCATTTTTCTGTATGAAACAGTATATTCTAAAATGAAATGGAGATCTTTTTTAAAGACTAAAACCTCATTCAATTTTATGTCTTACAGGGTTTATACTGAGTACAATAACATACAACTGTATTAATTTGACACTGTGAACCTAAAAATTATAGCCAATTTTGAAAGAGATGCATCTTTGCTCTGGAAACTGTTATTGACTATGTCAATGCTGTTGTAATGAAATGCTTCTACTAATTATATAGTTATTAAATAAATTTTTTTTTAAATGCCAAAATCAGTTATCAAGGCAACCTCAAAGTGACAAAGATTCAGTAAGTAGTAAGCGTTCAAATGTCAATTCAAAAAGTGAGTGCTTACTATGTGCTTACTATGTGCAGGGCACTATTCAAAGTGCTGAGTAATAATACAATGGTCTCTCTGAACAAAGCCCTTGCCCCTCCTGGAGTTTATGTTCCAGAAGACTGGTAAACAGCAAAAGTCAAATAATAAGAAACTAAGGATAACCAGAAGTGGGACAGGATGGCTGAGGTTCAGTGATTAAGTCAGTCCAGGGAGGGCTCTCTGCATTACAGGACATTGGAAGAAAACTCTGAATACACTGAGGTGAGTCATACATAGTGAGTCCCTAAGAATTGCTCTAGGTTGAGAAATCTGTGTGTCCAAAGGTCCTTAAGATTTAGTATGCCTAGAGTGTTCTGGAGACAGCAAGGAGACCCATGTGACTGTGTTAGAGAGAAAGGAGGAGGAAATGATAGGATGACAGAAACCGAGACAAGGTGGGGGAGTGAGAAGGGACAGTGAATTCCAGCCTCATCTCGCAACTTCAGCTGACAGCATCTTCTAGCAGCAATGGAGGAGGGCTTCATGAGTATCTGCGTATCCTCTGATAATCACAATGCAGCACAAACGGCATTCAATACATTCTTCTACAGGTTATTACAAGAATCAGAAGGTAAAACAGTACATACTCTGTTCGTATCTCTGGGTCACTATGACAGGAATGACACATGGCACTGAATCGAGATACAAAGAAGTCATAGCGTCTGTGATAAGATGGTGTATCTTCTTCAATATTTGCAAATTTGACAAACTAAAAAACAAAAACAACAATACGAACAATATACATCACCTTTTTGAAAGTGAGTAAACACATTCTCCTTATCTGTTACATTAACAACAACATCCAAATATGAAGCAAGTTATGCATAACACCAAATACCACATATGCACAAAAGGAACTGTTCAATAATGAGCTTTTAGAAACACAAGGATAGAGCAGTCTCAACAGTAAATGTAAACCTGCAACCTGGCTGGCCCCCTTAGAGCTGGTGCTTCCAGGACAGGTTCTGCTCTAAAGCTCTTTTCGGCTTCCTAGGTTCTGGCCGTGAGGAACTCTGTTGGAGCATTAACCGCTGCAGAATGGCGTTTTTCTTTTTTTGAGACAGGTCTTACTATGTTGCCCAAGCTGGTCTCAAATTCAGGATTCTCCTGCGTCAGCCTCCCGAGAGCTGGGATTAGAGGTGTGAGCCAAGAGTACCAGGTTTTTCTTTTTTAATAGTGTTTACATTCATCAGATGATTTATTATTTCTGTATATTAAATAGCTTAAAGCAATAAACCTTTAAATGTATTTGCAAATTGCAATAAATATGAATAAAAGGTTGCCAGGATATAGACTTGTACCTTTAGAAGATTACTCCCCAAATAACTAATCAAATACAATATAAGAATAATTAGAATTATTATTATTATTCCAACTAATCTCTGTTGGAAACAAAACTGAAAGAAGTATAAAAAAAATTGAAAAATGAGATAATTATACTAAAACACTACAAAATACCTTGGTTGGAACAAAACAATCTGTTTTCACATGATTTATAAATTCTAGAAAGGGGACACAAATATAGCTCCTGGTTCAGATTAAAGTGATACTATCAACTCTACTGCACACTATACAATGTTTTCATATGGGTTCTTTGGAGTCATTCCAATAACCTACAAGAAAACTGCCACTACCCAGATATTATAGACGAGAACACTGAAGGTCAGAGATTTAACCACTTGTTAAAAATGACAACAGAGAATGGTGAAACTGGCATTATAGTCCAGGAATTTGACTCCAATTCTCAAGACTACATATTAGATACTCGGCAAATGAACAGAAAACATTAAACTAAACATATATACTTAAGAAAAACCAAGAAAGACAGGGGAGAAATGCTCAAAAGGTAAAAATGAAAAAAACAAAAAATAAAACCTCCAAAATGTATGTGTGTGTACATATGTGTATACAAATCAAAGTATTGAAAGAATACTCTTAAATTCTGAATTTACAGGTGGCTTTCCCTTGAATTACTTTAATATTTTTGCATTCTTCCAATTCTGTAATAAACATTGTTTTAATTATTTATTATTTTTATTTTATGTGTATGAGTATTTTGTCTACATGTATGTTAAGTGCACCCATGTCATGCAACGGCCAAAGAGGTCAGAAGAGGGTGTTGGATTCCCCCTGGAACTGGAGTTATGGACAGTTGTTAGCCGCCATGTGGGTTCTGGGCACTGAACCAGGGTATTCTGCAAGAGCAAGCAGCCAATGCTCTTAACCACTGAGTCATCTCTCCAGCCCCAATGAGCATTATTTTTAAAATGGAAAAAAGAGCCAGAGATAAAACAAAAATGGCTATTAAAATCTTCAATGTGAGGGAGAACTTTAGAAGGAAAAAAACCCTTTATTTTTGTGTTATTTATTGAAAGTCACGAGTAGGAGCATAATCTGAGTGGCTGTTTATAGTAGGCAGCCCCTAATGCCCTAAATATGAAGGGCAGAATATAAAATGCGTGGCTCTGTTCCAGAGGAACCCTCTTCCCAGTCTGTAGAAAAGGTCTAATCTACATCAACGAGGCGGTATCATTACAGACATCATATGTAGTGATGGAGAGAAATGACACAGTGCTGTGCAAAGATTATGAACAGACTCTATAGTAGATGGACCTGAATTTGGATCCTGAGTGCACTGTGTCACTTGTGAAATTAAGTAACATTACTGAGTTGGTGAGAGCGTCAAACAACAACCAAAGTCAACATGCTGTTCTCAATGTAATAAATATGCAGTCAAAGGTCCTACTTTTTTCCATTTAAAATTTTAAGTTGTCAGGGACTGAGGAGGTGGCCTAGTGATGAAGAACACTTGCTGTGCAAGCCTGAGAAAGTCAGTATCTCCAGGTCCCACATAAAAACTAGGCATGCTGCACATGTGTATAACCGCAGGTGGATCCCAGGAGCTCCCTGGCCAAGCACCCTAGGAGAAACAGACTCAGTGAGAGATCCTGTCTTAAAAGAATACGATGGAGAGCAATAGAGAAAGACACATATGTCCTCTTCTGGCTACCAAATTCATGTGCATGGGTACGCATGCCTCACACTCATATGTACATACACACACACACTCACACACAACACTCACACACACACACACACACCACACACACACACACACACCACACACACACACACACACGTACGCACACCAAAATTTTTTTAAAAAGAGAAAGAAAATAAAAAATCTAGGAATTCGTATGTTTTGAAAGGCACAGTAAAAGGGTTAGCATGTGCTCCTTGATGCAAGTTTCTCACCCTAAGCACTATTAAAATTGGAAGCTAGATAAAGCCTTTGTTGTGGGGGCCACCCTGTGGACTGAAGGATGTCGAGCAGCATCCCCAGCTTCCTGGATCCCATCTACACTCCAGTCTCTACTGGATAAACCATGTCTTCAGACATCTGTCAAACATACAGGGAGGGCAGGAAGGAAGGAAAAGTGCCGTTGCTTGAAGGCCAGTGCTTTACTGTAATGAACAGCTTAACTGACTCTTCTCTCAGGACATCTATCAACAGTATTTAAGAAAAATGATTAAAATTAGTGATGAGGCTTGAAAACAGTGACATGGGGCAACCAAGTAAAAATGGGCAAAAAAAAAAGAAATCTATACTTGTCCTGTCCTATTCCACAAATCTCATGGTGTGCTTATCCTGCAATGATCATGAGACCTAGGACAGAGTCCCCTATTATGCACAGCACTACTTCACTTTGTCTTCTGACAAGTTAAAATTTAACTCTAATTCCTCATATTAATATATATATATATCCAAACTAGAATTAAATTATGACTCCTATATAAAAAGCCTAACACATACTGCATTCATGCATGTGCACAGAGGCCAGAGGAGGACATCGGTGTCCACTCTGCCTACCATACTCATCTTCATTCCCTGGAGACAGGAATTCTCACTGCACCTGTTGCTAGGTTGGTAATCAATCCCCAGTGAGATCCTCTTGGATCTGCGGTGCTGGGGTCACAGGTACACATAAGACCATGCCAGGGATTTTCTTGGGTTCTGGGGATTTGAACGCCAATCCTCATGTTTGTTCAGCAAGCCTTCCCTGCTAACAAGTATAGGATAAGCTTCCCTTATTCAGAATGTTTTGAAACCAAAAGCCTTCCAGATTTCACTGTTCTTAAGATTCCTGGATATTTGCTCAGCCCTAGCAATGGAGCAGCCTCAGTCTGAAAATCCTATCATATAACTCAAAAGGCTGTGAGTTGGGAGCATTTCTGACTTCAGATGAGGGATGCTCAAATTGTCTATATAATTATTTAGTGACTATTTTTAGCATTTTCCCCTGCATCAGTTATACATGGTCTACTGCATCATCTTCTATGCTTCTTTTTGGAATAGTTTACAACAAAAAAGGAGTAAGGCATTTCCAGCGCAACTTGTTTTTTTTATTTAGGGTATTTTTAATATAATCTTTTTATTAATTCTCGGAGAATTTCATACACGTATGCAATGTATTTTGAGCATATTCACCTCCTACTCCCCCTAACTCCTCCCAGAACCCCCATGTTCCCCCACCCCGCACAATTTCTAACACAAAGAAGAACCTAAACAAATTGTATCTACTGCTGTCATACTGAATTGCCATCAGCAAAGAGATAAATATCAACAAATTACAATAAAATATACAAATACCATGAATGAATAAATATTGAAAATATTAAATCAATGCCCACTATATTTGATAATATAAGGTACTCAGTGCCACTACAAAATTAAAATTAAGACTTTGAGGGAATAGCAGATAAATAATGTTGGCCACAATAATACGTCATTTGATTTAATGTATTCACTAAAAGTAGATTACTGAGGGCTTTGGTCTTTTGCCCAAATGAATCATTAAAGTAATCCTAATGGCACTGCTGGCTACAAGTAAAGAAACTTCTGGGAATGTACACTAACACCCCTTGCACCCCAGCTATTGAGCCATTTTCCCCAAACCTCCTCATCTAATTGTAAAGGAAGCAAGAGAAGCCTTAAGTAGCTCTCCTTCCTGAAACTGCACCCGTCACCTTTACTGCAATTGAAAATATCCAATATCTATCTCTGAAATAAATGGACATAATCACTTTGGGGTTTTTGAAAAAGGTTTTACTTATACATTCTTGCTTTTGTAACAATCCACACCCAGCAGTAACTGACAATGCTATGCACTGTTATAAGAGCTTCATGTGCTCCTAGCACACAACAGTCTTCCAAGATGGGACTATTATTATCTGCATTCACAGAGGAAAAACTGAGGCAAAGAGGTTAAATAACCTGCCCAGGCTACAGAGCTAGAGTGCAGGTATAATACAAACCAAGACAGCTGGACTCTGCCTCCACAGTGGAGTCACTGCCAATACTTCCTCTCCCTGTATTAGAAAACAATTATCCCTAAACAGTATCAGGTCATATATGATTCCAACAGTTGTTGGTAAAGATAGGGTGGGAAGGCAAAACATTCATGTAGGCTAAAGACTTAGAAGTACTGAAATCATAAAATGAAACTACAGACAAAAGAAAAAGAATCACTGTATCTTATTTTCCTTTTCATTATCATTGTATGACAAATATTTAGATATAAGTGTCTCTCACTCCTCATCAAAGAAGCCTCTTTTTCCAACAGATGGACACTGTTATGGAGATCCACAATTGGTCAAAATGCAGAGAATAAGTGACCATGGGGTGCCAGCTCCAATGAATACATCCCCAATACAACTCATATACCTAAGGTGCAGGGAACATCATGGAAGAGGGGCAGAAAGACTGTAACAGGATGCCTGCTGCTATATAGTGCCTTCGAGACATGCAGGGAAGCTGCACCCACGAAATCTCAATAAGATGTTGCCTGAAAACGATCTTCATAAAATGATAATACCAGTTAACATGGCAAGATGGATGGGGGAAATTTCACAAGGTCGCAACTCCAGATGAAGAACTAATGGCTGCTGAGAGAGGGAAAATCAGTTTTCTCCATGGCCAAGCTCCCAGATGGGTTATCTAATCCCAAGTGTTCAGTCCTAAACACATGTACATAAGAGGAACACTAAATGGACTCAGTAGGCCATTTGTGTGTGTGTGTGTGTGTGTGTGTGTGTGTGTGTGTGTATGTGTCGCAATAATAAAGAGGTTATGAAATTGGGGGGAAGGGCTTGAAAGTAGTTGGAGGGGGAGAAGGTGGGATAAAATGATGTAAATATAGTTCTAATGTGAAATTCTAAAAAAAACCTCAAATTATTTTTTAAAAATGTTAAAAGACAAAAAAATGAATATGGTAAGGAGAAACAGCTCAGAAATGGTCTATGAAAGAAGGAAGACCCAAATGGCTGTTTTGTGGCTAAGTGCTAGGGAAGCAATAGTATCTTTGACAAATATAACAGGTATTTGAATATACAGATGTATAATTCAGTCAAATGGAGCCCTACCCCACATCATATGCAAAATAACTTAAAACAGATACGGCAATGGTTTCTTAGAAAGGTTATTAAAAGCACACTTCAGTAGCTCAAAGTACATCATTAAGACATTAGAAGGACAAACCACAGAACTAGAGGAAATACTGCTAGTCAGAGAGCTGACAAAGCATTTGCATTGAAATATATAAAGAATTTTTACAACTCAAATAGAAAAAGGCAATGTAATTTATAAAATAAGCAAAGAATTTAGAAACATTTATCCAAAGACATACAAACAGCCAGAGAGTACATGCAAAGAAGTTTTAAGGGAAACAAAAACCAAAGGCACAATAAATACCACACCGCCATTTTAATTTATCATTCATCTGCTCTTGGACATTAGGATTATTTTCACTTTTTTGGCTGTTAGGAATATTTGTTTATAACTTTACGTGCAGACATAAATCTTCTATTCTGAGGGGCATACACTAAGTAGTATGCTGGGTCATATGACAAGTGTTTGCGATAAATGAGATGCATTTCAATAAAAAGCTGTTATTTCTGAAAAAGCATCAAAGTAAAATAGTATGCAAAGTTAGTGTTGTAATGGATGGCACAGAGAAAATAAAACTGACAGGTATAGATTCATTTAGAAGCACATATTTCATTATGATTGGTTAATGTCACAGACTGTATAAGAAGCAAAAGAAGGCACTAGAGAGAATCTAGTAATTCTCTAGTAATTATTGGTTTGCATTGGTTGCCTAAACGCCCTGAGTGAGGGACTGCCTTTATTGGATACAATCATTCTAAGAAGAGATTAATTCTTCCTATGCTAATTGAAAGTTAGTAAAAGAATAATAGATTTGCTTACAGAATTTGTTCCAAGAACTTGAAGTTTTGGTTCCCCCGACTCCAGGAGCTTTGCCACCATATGAAGGAAGCTTTCTACAAATGGCTTGATGCTTTGAGAATGGCAGGCCATAAGAAGTTGGTCCAATGCCTCCATAGCAATTAGAACATACCTAATTAAAAGAAAAACAGTGTTGAAACATTTCCAGCTCTTCTAATTCTTCTAAGTGCTTTTCATTAGAATAATTAAAATGTTTATTTAAATGTACAGAACATAGGCAAAATTTAATAGCTTCTAAGTAAAATCTTAATTTTCACACAGCACCAATGACTTCAGAAATAAAAGTCCTCAGGATGAAGTATGCCAAAACTAGACTGCACTACTCTATTTTCTCCTTTAAACTCTTTGAGAGCTACTTTGACATTAATGTTCTACAAGTTGTCTCAAAAGCCACAGGCATTTTTCTATATTCCAAAGCAGTTACTAAAATAGCACATCTCCATCTTCAACATTATCTACTTATATTTGTAAATATTTATACATAAAACTGTACACATCAACAGAATCAAAGGAATGTCTCAATAAATTTGCATTACAAAGCAACAGATAGTAAATCTTGCATGTAATAAGTCAGATCCAGTTTTAGTTAACTTGCAACATCAGCTATTGACAAACCACCCACACCAGTACCCACAAAAATGTCCTGTGAGGTTAACACGGAAGCACATCAACCCAATGCCTCACTTAAAGAATGGAGAACTTTAACAAAGTAGGATCATAAAATGGCAATACAGAAAAGTATTTACAATGAAAACTAAAGTTATCACTGTTCAAGCACAGAGAATGGTTAAGATGGGATCCCTTTATCAATAGACGTAGGTACCACCAGTGGAGTCCTAAAGCAGGATTCTGACACCATCTGGATTTCAGGATCTAAGCATGATAATTCCTTCATTCCTCTGAAACTTCAGACTGAAGCTGTGTCAAAAATCAGCTGGTAGCAGGACTTCCATTTTCAATTTAGACACTGCCTTTTTTAAGTAAGTACCTATCACACCTTTCGTTTAAGAGAGTTAGTTTTTTAAAAACTATTTTCAATTTGAGAAGTTCTGGGCTGGAGAGACAGCTCAGCAGTTAAGAGCACTGGCTACTCTTGCAGAGGACCCAGGTTCGATTCCCAGCACCATCCATAACTCCAGCTGCAGGGGATACGACACTCTCTTCTGACCTCAATGGGCACTGGACAACACAGGTGCACCTACCAACATGCGGGTAATACACTCATACACACGACAAAATAAAGGCAATAAATAAAATATTAAAAAAGAGAAGTTCTAAATATTAATGGATGCTAAAGCTAAGGGGAACTCTATTATGCAAACAACCTGAGTATCAGGAAATACAAGCTGCAGCAGCTACACTTTTCTTTGTGTATTATTTATTAAAATGCTTTGCCCTGTGATCTAAAGGGGGAAAGGCGGGTAACAGAATAGGAAGGGTTAGATGGCATGGGGAATGGAAGCACAGGGCAGAGGAGAAAGTATAGGGAGGGATAAATAACACTAAAGGCTCTTAGAAAATGTCATGTGGAAACCTACCACTATAGAAGCTTCTTAAAGTATATACATATACTTCATAAAAAGAGATTAAAAGGGTGGGCACTGTCCCTACTGATACCATAGGCTAACAAAATAAAAGCCCAATCCCAGGAATGGACTCCCTCTTTTGAAGCTATTGACCAAGGGACCTATAGACTCGCCCAAAACACTGGCCATTGCCTATGCTCTTGGTTTCACATCAGAACTTCATGGTAAGATTCTATTGCTGAAAATACTACATACATAAGGTATAGCACAAATAAGGAGGAATCAAGCTGGTGCTGACTTCAAAGGCTCATCTCTACTATCTAGCTTTCTAGTGTTGAAGGTACTATGCAAGCTACCTGAAGAGAAAAATTAATTGACCTTACCCAGCTGTGAATCCTGTGAGCTACAACTAGTCTGACAAGATATGCTCACCAGTGCAACAGTGGCACGGATATTGTTGTACCCATAGATCAGTGCATTAACAGAGACCCACAACTAGTCAACGTGCAGAGAACAAGAGGCTGAAGACTGCTTCTCCCTGAACAGGACACCTATACCAAACTTCTGTCTCCCAAGGCTCAGGGATCATTGCAGAGGAGGGGACGGAAAGACTGTAAAAGGCAGAGGTGATGGATGACCACAAGGAAACAATAGTTTTCCAGACAGCTGATCAGGTACCCACATGAATTCACAGCAATGGTGACACAAGGCACAAGTCCCATGTAAGCTCAAACCAACAAAATCCCAGCATAGACATGGGGAAGTGGGTAAGAAACCTCAACCCTACCTGAAGAACTATTGACTGCTGGGAGAATGAGAGTCAGTCTCTTTCAAGGATGGGACTCTTGGTAGGCTAACCAGGCTCCAGTGGATGGACCCACACTGAAGGATTTTTGGGGTAACAGTCAAGAAAATGCCACATAGACATGCCCACAGGCCAATCCAGTAGAGGGAATATTACATTAAATTGGGCAAGGATAGTAAGGGGAGTTGTGGAGAGGAGGTGATTTAAATGCCATCAAAAATATATTGTATGAAAATCACAAAAATTCAATTTAAAAAAGGGAAAAAGTATTTTGCTCTCCATATGTTGTCTTTGCTTGACTAGATGGTGCAACAATTTACAGGATAAATTAGCCTAGGAAGAACCTTCCAAAGATACAGTTTAGCAGTAGTGACCTTACCCAGAACGATGTCTGACAACATCCCTGCTCAGTCTTTCTGCCAGATAGGCACCTATTCGATCCAGCTTCTCTGGAGCAGACACAGCATAGAATGTCAGTTTCTCCATATCAGCTTTAACAAGACCATCCTGAAAATATAACAAGATAAATACATGATCTACATAGTCTAATTTATTTATTCATTCAAAGTGTTGCCTGCCTTACATTTTCCCTTTTGGACTGTAAATGAATCCATATTTATACTGAAACTTTTTGAGTATAACCTCTTTAGTGCTAATATTAGCTATGCTAAATGCACAGAACTTTCAAGAAGCCAAAGAAACTTTCCACTAAAGTGAGCATTTGAAGGACCTTCACAGGCAACAGCTCTCTCGAACTTTCCTCTACACGAGTGGCTAACAGGACATCGAGGATGAAATTCATTTTATTGAAAAATCTGTTTCAATGTAAACATTCTGAAGGTTATATGTAGTCTATTTCTTTACATATGAGTCAGTGAATATATAGATTTTTTAATGATTCAGGATTGCTGGTATCATAAATTCTGTTGTAATTAACAAATGAGAAGTATTCAGAACTCTATTAATCTATGTTTTAACAATGTATTTTTAAGAGGTAATATCAACAACAACAGGTCCTCTTGTGGAATAAGCCGCTCATCTTTTTTCATTGTCTAAAGACGATTCCAGTGATTCTCCCCACCTTCATGCAAATGAATCAATCATCACCCTCATTTTCTTGGCTAGGTATAGTCCAAGCAACTACATGCTGCTTGGGTCTACTGGATGAGGTGAGAAAGGAGATGGCAAGATTATGTTGGATGATGACTATATAATTAATATTTCTGTAAATCTGTTTTTAACTTCATCTAGCCCCTGCTACCATCCCCCCCTCCCAATCCCCTCCAGCTTCTGGCTATTTTGCTGTTTCTACAGGGAACACATAGCAGCATATTTTGGACTTCCTCCATTTAGCTCCAACTTACTACTTTGCAGGGAAATCAGCTTGTATCTCTTCTGTGCATGACTTCTCTCACTAAGCCTACCTCCTAGAAGCAGAGGCACTTTTGTTTAGTTCTTAGCTTCCTCCAAACAACCTTCACACACCATTCCCAGAGGGCTCTCCTCAAGCTCTCCAGAGATGGAGTGTGATGTTCCTAGTGTAAGCTCTTCTGGCTCACTGTACTTATCCTTCACTATTGTTTGTCATATTGTCATGGCATTCATTAAATAAATCCTGAGTGCAAACTACACGCATGGCACTGTAACAGACACCAGGGAAGCAATACTCAGCAAAGAACTGTACTTGCTGAGTGAGACCCCATGAGAACTTTGAGACAGGAACTAATTGCTTCCATGAAATGATGAGACATGCTGATTAAGGAAACTGCTTGTCTTGCTCAACTGGATTGCTCTTTGAAGGCAGGGACTATGAGATGTACACTTCTGCATCCAATTCCTACTGTCTGACTCATTTGTGTGATTTAATAAATTACAATAAGAATTATGAAAACTGTTTAACACAACGTATGCAAGCCTCATGGAAATTTTTTAAAAATCTACTTTATTTCACAGATCAAATGATATCTGAATCTTTTGACAAAACCTTTAAAAAAACCATTCCCCAGTTTACCCATTGTCAACTCCATTACAAGTATGCACAGCTCAGCACTGCTAAAAATCAAAGCAGAGCAGATACCTTAGCCTGTCTCCACACTCCACACTCTGCCCCTTAACTTCACAACCCAGACTTCTTGAAAATATAATGACTTGAATATTCAGTCTATTGAACCATGAGTGAAATTTCAAATCAGAAATCATGGCCAACAATTTAATCACATTATACCTTACAACAAGGTAATAAGAACCTTCATTTGGATGGAGTTTAATGGAGTAACGTACCCTTCCCTTGAAGGCATCTTACTTTCCATGCATTTTCTCAGCCCCCAAATTTATCTCCACCTCTCTAGATGGGGGACACCTTTCAAAGCTTAGCAGACCTCATTTCTTCTAAGAATGCTTTCTAGAGACTGCCAACATAGTGACATTTCCTTACTTAAGAGATGACCATTTCACTGCCTACACTTTACTAATTTATGTATCATGACTTAATATTTAATACTTTTATGTGAGCCAATGGGAAACATTCTTAAAAACAGGTACCATATCTTATGTTTTTTTTAATGTGCCAAAATTATCCAGGATCTTTGATTGCCAATAGTACTTACAGCTAACTTCCTATACATAGAGGATTGCTTAAATAAATTTGATTAAAAGTAGGACACATCGACACTAAATTATTGTTAATATAACCAAAAGATAAGCTGGCTCCCTTTCTTAAAAAATCTGGAAATTGGGGCTGCGGAGATGGCTCAGCAGTTAAGAACACTGACTGTTCTTGCAGAAGACCCAGGTTCGAACCCCAGCACCCACATGGTGGCTATCAACTGTCCAGAACTCCAGTTCCAGGGGATCCAACAGCCTCTTCTATCCTCCACGGACATTTCACAACACGGGTACACTTACTTACATGCAAGTAATACATGCATACAGAGAAAATAAAAATAATAAAATATATTTTTTAAAATCTGGAAATCAATTTGTGTAATACTTTCTGTCCACTTAACAGAAAGTAAAAAGGATCCTTAGAAAGTCTAAGACAGTGAGTGTCCAACAAACCTAATTGCTCTGAAACTAGCAATCATCTCACATATATGTGTTTATTCATTTAAAAAATTAAGCAGGTTTCTGACTTTTTTATTTTATTGTTTATTTTGGCTTTTTGAGGCAGGATTTCACTATGCAGCCTAGGCTTACCTCAAACTCACACTCCTCCTGCCTTAGTCTCACAAATGCAGGGAGTATTAGCAATGCCAGCACAGCTGGCTAAACACTACTGAAGAAAAAGGCAAACAGGTTCTGTCTGTAATATTCTTCCATTATCTCAATTCTCTTCTTAGAAATGTATAGCCTCTCCCTACTTATTCTTCAGATCTTAGCTTAAGATTTCATTTCCTTCGGTCTTTCTCTTCTTAAGCCCAAATCAGCCATCATTCCCATCTACCCAAGCAGCACCTTGTACTGCACTGCTCTTCTACATTTTTCCCACAGTATTGAAACTGTTGATGTTCTTATCTATGAGCTTGTTGGGCCTAGAAACTACATGATCAAGGCTATATCCTGAATACACAGCAGATGGCACAGGTTCATAAATGTTTGATGAGTGTTACCTAAGTGCTCCCTAGACTGAAAAGGAACAGCACGTATCTAGAAAAAGACAAAACAAGAAAGAGTCACTTAAAAGTTAAAGAGTGTATAAAAATAGTACTATATGTGATGAGATACAGGGATAAAAGTAGAGAAATGAAATTAGGGAAACCTTAGGGAGGTCAGCAGGGGGCAGAATGGGTCAGCAAAGAGAAGGATCAGGAGATGTAGATCAAATTACTTTTGGATCTTCGGGAAATATGTTGTCCACCAGGCGTTTGTAGCGAGGACGCAAAGCAGAACAGCAGCAACATACTCCTGTTTAAAAAAAAAAAAAAAGGTATAAAGGTTAATACTATAAAATGATCCAGAAAATCATGTTTCTAAATATTGATGGGCTATTTAAAGGTAAGTTCAAACTGTCACAGAGACAAGGCATGTAAATTTAAAAAGAAATAAGAAAGCTAAACTTCTCCCTTCCTGGGAAATTCACAGGGTCTCACCTCAAGATGAAAAGCTACCAGCAATCAATGGGTGCTGAGGGAGGGAGAATCCGTTTTCTCCAGGGACTAACTCCCTAAGAGGTTTTCTAATCCCAAGTGGGCAACCCTAAACACAGGTACACAAGAGCATCACTAAATAGACTCAGTGCATTATATATATATTTGTATGTATATATAACAATACAGGACGAGAAGTTTAGAGGGAGTTGGACGGGGACTGGAAGGGATGGAAATAATGCAAATATACTCAAATTCTCAAAAATAAAAAAAAATTGTTTTTTGGTGTTTTTGAAACAGGGTCTCTCTGTAGCTCCAGCTGGACTGGAACTCACTATGTAGGTCAGGTTGGCCTTTATCTCACAGAAATCTGCCTGTCTCTGCCTCCTGAGGACGTGGATTAAAGGGATGTACAAACAATGCCTGACTTAATATTAACTTTTTTTCAAATTTCTTCTCTCCTCAAAAGAAGTGCAGTTACTAAGAATTTGCATGACTACATACATACCCCATATCGAATCTGGTCCATTAAGCAAATTCATGGGCCATCCTTACCTTTATCTCCTACTGTTCCCTGCATACCACATCCGTGTGTCCCATCTACTTCACTCCAGCCATAATAGTTGCCCTGCTAGTCCTAACATGTCAGACACCTCATTTCCTCTGCTTAGAGCACAGGATAGTCGTGCATCGTCTTCTCTACGCGCATAGTCCCCTTCTCCTCGCGGCCGCAGGGAGGGGGAAATAAAGGGGTTGTACAAACAATGCCTGACTTAATATTAACTTTTTTTCAAATTTCTTCTCTCCTCAAAAGAAGTGCAGTTACTAAGAATTTGCATGACTACATACATACCCCATATCGAATCTGGTCCATTAAGCAAATTCATGGGCCATCCTTACCTTTATCTCCTACTGTTCCCTGCATACCACATCCGTGTGTCCCATCTACTTCACTCCAGCCATAATAGTTGCCCTGCTAGTCCTAACATGTCAGACACCTCATTTCCTCTGCTTAGAGCACAGCCCAGTAACTACAGACTATAACTTTTAATCCCTCATTTAAATCTCTAGTCAACCTTACTCTAGGCTACTTTCTTTTTCCCAAAGTGTTTATTGCCAAACAAGTAATTTTCCTAGTGTGCTAATTGGTTATCTTTGGTCTCCCCTCACCAGACAAGCTCAGATGAAGGTAGAGATCACTAGTTGGCTCACTGATGAATCCCAAGCAGCTAGACTAAGACCCATTGGGCATCCAGGTGCTTAGCGCATGAGTGTGTACATACACAAACCAACTGTACTCTACCTACTTCATCAGTACTTTTGTTGTTGCACTTTCTGCTTCTGCAACCTAGCTCAGATGTAGTATCTTACATACACCTTTCCTATAGTTTCCAAGCTGGTTCACCAGTCCCCTGTGGCTCACACACAGAGGGGATATTTACATAACCCATCTCTAGCAACATTTTTACTTGATGCTTCCAAGAGTTCACTGATACTTGGGCAAGTATATATAAATGCCCTACTGTTTTATAGCATCCTTCCAGTTAAAAGATTATTCAGTTAATAACCTTTTGGTTACTAACCATTCTTTATGTACCACAAGCTTAGCATAGTCCAAGATAACTTAGTTTTTCAATGGGTATATTCTAGTCTGTGAGCACACATCAGAAACATAATCTTTAAAGTGCAAATGAAAACAAAGACTGGAGGATCTTCAAGAAATACAACAAAGGCTGTGTGTCTGACTTATAACCCTTTTACAGAAACAAATCTGATAAACAAAAAGGCATGAATGACCCAGAAGACCTGGATTCCCTCCAATTTGTCTACTTGAATGACTACAGGACTTGGGTAAGACACCTCAGCTACCTGGAGAGAACTGTAAAAGGGGTCAGCTTTCTTCTCCTGCAAACCAGGTAAAAACAGACAGACAGACAGACAGACACACACACACACACACACACACACACACACACACACACACACAGAGAACTGCAGACCCATTTCTTTGATGAACATAGATGCAAAAATTCTCAACAAAATACTTGCAAAGCAAATTCAGGAACACATTAAGATCATACATTATGATCAAGTGGGCTTCATTCCAGAAAGACAAGACTGATTCAACATATGTAAATCAATAAATGCAATACGCCATATAAACACACTAAAGGACAGAAATCATGTAATCATCTCAATTGATACTGAAAAAGCATTAGACAAAGTTCAACATGACTTCATGATAAAAGTCTTGAAGGCAGGAATAATAAATGCTATATATAACAAATCTTCACCTGACGTTATATTAAAAGGAAACACACTGAAAACATTTCCTCTAAAAGCAGGAGCGAGACAAGGATGTCCCCATCCTCTCCCCTCCCCTCTCGAAGTCCTGTAGATCAATTACACATGAGAAAAGGCATAAAGGGGATAAAATTAGGAAAGGAAGAACCCAAACTCTCTCTATTTGCAGATGACAACTCTGTACTTCAAAGACCAAACACTTCACAGTTAATTTTTCAGTCAAAATACTTGAATGCTACTTAGACTTAAAAGCAAAAAACAATAGGTTGAGTATAGAGGGAAGAGTAAGTGACAGCTAAATTAGCAGAAAGCAAAAATCTGTGTCTGCGATACCTAATAAAAATATTTCGGGTAAGTACATTAAAATCAGACGTGTGCTCTGCAGCTATCATACAGACACAGAGTCCTGTGATGATGATGAAGTTTATAGTCTGGTCAGATTAAAGTGAATATTTGCCAGTGCTAATGCTAGGCCAAATATAGTACATTCAAACTATTGTCGTGGCAAAGGACTGGCAATGGGACTGAAAAACATGCCCTAATGCTTTAAGTCTCCTATAAACTTGGGTATTTTCAAAGAGAAGATTCGTAGCAAGCAATTAAGTTTCACTTACACTGGTACATTCTGATATTACACATTGCTTTTAGTTTAAGGGAACCTGAAAAATGTGAATTTGGACTGCAAACAACACTAGTCCTGGGTATAACCTCTTCAGTGCTAAAATCTAGGAAGCCTAGATGTACTGGCGTTGAAAGTGAGCAAGAGGAAAATGTACAGGAGGCAGCATATGGCTACAGAGCACAAGCCCTGTAGTTGGACAGATGTGGAAGAGCCAGGCAGACAGGCAGGCAGGTTGGTTGTCTGACTGTACCCAAGTTCCTTTCTAAGTAAAATAATGACTTAACCTTAACTACTACACCAAAGTAAATTGTATATGAAATTCTCAGTAGGGAAGCACTCAATGAAATGAAAAGAAGTTTCATAATAAATGGTAAACGGGAAAGCCTTTTAGAGAGCACTCACAGCAGTGTAAAATCTCTTAGCAACGTACTCCGTTCCTAAGGCCAAAAATGTCAAAAGTATTTGGGAGCTCTTATCTAATCCTTTAAAGGGTTACCTTAGGGTTACCTCTTCAGAGGGGGCAATGTTAGAGTAGCAAAAAGCCCCATTAAAAAAAAGAAGAAGAAACAGTACATGAAGTTATCAGAGAAAAGGGATGGGGAGATATGGGAGGAGTTGGAGGGGAGGAAGTGGGCATGGATTTGATCAAAACACCTAATATGCATACATGAAATTCTCAATAAATTATTAAAAAACAAAAACCTTTGCTGTAAACTAGTCATCAATACATTTCAAGAAGAGTTCATAACAACTTTCAATAGTGAGTAAGTACTAGGAGGGGTAACTGACATTTTTGGAATGTGTGTAGTACTGCACTCAAGATTTGGTAGCGTGACTCACTCTACCTCATCCTGCAGATGTGCAGATGGTTATTATCTTCTCCACTTGATGAGCAAGGTTTTTGGAATGTGTGTAGTACTGCACTCAAGATTTGGTAGCGTGACTCACTCCTCTACCTCGTCCTGCAGATGTGCAGATGGTTATTATCTTCTCCACTTGATGAGCAAGAAAATGTTCACAGAAGCTGATCTGTCCCAGGTCACACCAGCCAGTAATAGTGAAGGCACTGCATTTCCCGCCTAGCTCTGATGGCTTCAAGGGGGTAAGTGCCACACTAATTCAAATACAAGATAATTTGTAAATTAAGCACTTCAGCTTTGTACAAATCTTCCAAGAATGTACAGGCCTCACAGATGAAAAAAGCACTGTCACTTCAGGAAACAAAAGGTCACAGTTTCTCACCGAGGCCAAAATACGCCACATTTTGAACATTTATTATAAATGAAAACCACCCACACCCACTATAAAGAAGATATATAAAACTAGCTTAAAAATTTCAATCTATTCTGGTTTCTGTGAAATTATATAGAAGACAACATACAGTTAAAATGAGTATGGCAATAAAAAACACAAAAGAAGTCACTCTAAAGACTCAAATAAGGTAATAAATACTGTGCACTTATAAACACTACAGGAAATGTTAGATAAAAATCACCAGACCTACTCAGGTATAGAAATGGCGATGATTCCCCTAGTGAAGCAAATTCATAAGGTTTTTCCGGTTCGGCTGCAGGTACCTGAACATAGTCCTTCATGCTGCAAGACTCCTTTCTAGTGCATCTTCCTGCTTCCTGATCCTCTGCATGCTGCTGAGGAAGCGCCTAGTTCACCTTACTTCTAATTAATTAGCAGAGCACTTGCAAAGTCTGAAACTTATCTAATTTCTTGTTGACAAAGCTATCAAGAACTTGGTAATATCCATATCAAGTTCTAGGAAGGACAATTAGCTTTAAATAAGATACTTAAATTACTTGTGTTGCTACTGTAATGAAAATAGTTTTTTTTCTGGAATTCAAATGAGAAAGTAAGCTGACTGGCACCCTTTTTCCTTCAAG